ACCTTTGGTAGTGAATGTGTGATCTAATTATTTCAATCATTATTTCATTTGAGCCATTGACAATGTCAAACATTAATTGTGCGGCATAATTAGGCAACCACACCTACTTTACCTTTTCCACAGTAAAACAAAAGAAGACCCCGAAACTACTCTCTAAAAGGAAAGGAATTACTGAATGGCTCGCTGGCTGGCTGGCTGGCTGACTGTTGTGTCGGCACCTTATAAGTAATAATTGTTACTTTCTTTCTTTTGTCAACTCGACTGCCTAGGAAATAAAAAAGAAAGGCCAGGGGAAGGAAGTTGCAACCCGTTTAACTTTTTGTCTCAGACGCCACCCTTTTTTCTCCCTTCATTTGCTCAAAAGTGTTTCCCATTTGACTTGGCAAACAAAGTCCTTGTAAATCCTTTTTATCTCCAGTCACAACACACTTCTCGCTACAAAAGCAGTGACAAAAAAAAAAAACAAACAAAGATCTTTTGTAGAATACCTCCCCGAAAATTACACACACAAAAAAACGGACTGATGTCCCTGTTTGTTTTTTTATTCTCCTTTCCTTCTTCCAAGAAAGGTTCATTCCTTCATCACCTCTAATTGTAGTCTTTTGGTAAATTATATGTACATTTGTCCGTCCCATTTAGCAGTTTATAACTGTATAAGGTATTCGCATGCACATTTTGCTACAACAATTTACTGGCCGAGTGTGTGTGTGTGTGTGTTCGGCTGTTATCATATCAGTTGCTGAAGATCTTGCCTCCTCTCGCTCTCACTCTCCCTGGCTCCCTGACTCCCTAACTTCCATAAATTATACGATATTTTATGTTTTCTCCTGCATCCTCTCCCTGCTTCTTATTTTAACACCTTTCTTTGACTTGAGCAGTTCGGTTTGCCTTCAGGGAAATCTTGATCTGATCGTTGACAAAATTTTGCAAAAGGAAATAATGTCCTTGGAAAAGGGGTTGCTGCTGCCACTGCCCGGTAACGTGCTATATCGTTAAAGATCTTTTTTTTTATGAAAACGCCAAAAGAATAAAGACTAATGATTGAATCTTATCAGATTGTAGATTGAGACATTGGTGTTAAAATGCGTGAGAAAATGTTGCCGTTTAATAATAATTATCAAGACGTCAATCCCAAATGAAATGAGAATTTAAATAAAATTTTGAGTTTTAGAAAAAAAGAGTTTATTTATAATTTTGTTGCGCACTATAATTAAAGGCTAACAGAGGAAATGAAACGTTGAAAGAGTTCTTATATTTATGTTGCAATGATTAAATATACTCGGTGATACATACAAAAAAAAAAAAAAAATTAATTAATAATTAACCTCGGACCAGCGACTTCTAAGGAATACCCTTTATGGGATGAAGTACCATATCGGATGGACCTACATAACCCAACTATACACTAAATATAAGAGTATAATAAATATAGTAATAAAGAAAGTTATGATTATTAAAAAATTGTGTTAAAGGTATTGGAAGAAGAATCCGACTAAATCACATATTCATGAGGGATATAATGTTTGGAAGGAAAATCGGAAACTTATTTCACATTTTACGAGAGTTTTTGTTATTTAAAACGGATATTTGGTGGTTAAAGAAGCAATAGGCCAAATTTTTTTATTTTTGCTAAGTTTGGAAGATTTGCTAAGTTTGAAGAAGAATCAAACATATTACGAGATTTGTTGTTTAACATTTGTGGTAAGACCAAGAATTTGTCCATTTTGGATCTAAACCTATATCTAATCTATATAATCGATGTTAAAAGTTTGAATTAAATCGGGTACTTCCTTCTCTCAAAATTTAATGTTTTTTTTTTCGCAAAATTTTTAACTTTTGTGAGGGGAGGTACCTCAAGTAGTCGACCGATATCATCTTCGAATTTATCCTAAGTTCGGTTAAAATATTTAGGTGTACAACAGACTTGCTTACAATACGCATTAGTAGTGGTGAAAGACTCTCTGCCGTGCCAACTCAATTCATATTATATTTCACAGAATTCGCGTTTTTACACTTTTTCTTTCAAGGCTGATCATATCTGGTCTACGGGTATCTCTAAACCACAAGAAGTTCTTCCAAACCTTCTTCTACAGTTCGTCAAAATTCCTCTGGCTTACCCTAATACTGCCACAAATTTCTCCAAGAAATAGGCTTTTATTGCCTGAAGGGCCTTGAAGTCCGAAACCATTCTTCCCCCAAGTCTAGAAGTCTTTCTAAAGAGTCCAAAACGGTCTACGGATATTGTAGTTATGCATTGTACAACGTTTGCACCTCTCTTCGAGAGTTACCTTGCGGACAGACAAAGAGATGGTTAGATCGAATCTAAATTTCCCTAAGAGGATTTCGTCCAAAGAGGCCTAAGGTCTACAAACCCATCCAACCCTTTTCGATAAGGCACATTTCGGCCGCATTAAATGTAACCATAATGCTGAGGGCAAAAAAACGCTAGAGAACTTTTTTTTAATAATAACATGTAAAAAAGAAGCTATGTTCGGCCGGGCCGAACTTTTAATACCCCCACCATTTGGAAGGAACCTGAAAATGTTCAACAAATTCCCAAAAATACGATATAATTGATGACCTCAATACGGGAGCTAGACGATGACGTGGAACTGCGTAAGAAATTTTTGTCAAAGTCTGTAGTACCCATTGAGATCTTCAAATACGAAATTTGAAATAATTCCTGCGAATAATGTCGCTAAAATCATGAAAATACCGAGTAGGGGGATGTACTGTTATATGGGGGCTATACGAAAAGGTGGACCTACATTTACGAACTTAACCTACCTACTGGCAAAAACACATGTGTGCAAAATTTTTGCCATCTATCTCACTGGCAGACAGACAAACGGGCATTGCTAAATCGTATTAAAATTTTACGCTGATCCAGAATATATATACTTTGTAGGGTCTATCATGAATATTTCGAGGAGTTACAAACGGAATGATAAAGTTAATATACCCTCCATGGAATGGTGGCGAGTATAAAAACCTTTATATCACTATATCTATTGAGCAGAGAGAAATATACGTTTATTTTGAGAATTTGTGTGAAGTAAATATTAACAACTACGATCGTACGCCTTTTTAAATGGGGAGGAACCTTAATGGGAGCCAGTGGTATACGCAGGGTTGGACCCCTCCATAATGACTATTTTTCGACATTTAATATATTTTTTTAATTGGGCCACCGGAATGGTGTCCTGATGAAAGCTTTATCATAATCTCAATCGATTCCTACCAGATTTGACTGAGGTACTGAGGTGCTTGTGATTTCTAGTACCAAATATCAGTTCTATAGGGTGTATATCATGTCTTTGATATCGGTTTAGATGGTTTATACAACTGAAATGTAACTGAAATGCTGTAAAATGTCCTATCTCCTCTCACGGTTGGACCCAAAAATTACAATATTTTTAAATTGGAACGGAAAATTATGATAACTTCAAATACTTAAAAGAAAACATTGCGGCATTCATAATTCTTAAGACTTAGTAGTTGTTTAAAACTGTTAAATAAGTGATTGCTTAGGTCTAGAGTAGTCTTTCATCGGCTTATATTACTCTGTTGCTGTCCTTCAAAACGAAACTAACAGCTTTCCAATATTTGCTTATCACTACAAATATCATGATTTCATTCCGGCGAAAGGCATGGCCACTTGGCTTTTTCAGCTTTTTGATAAAGCGACTTTGGTGAAAAAAATGAATAATTATAAAAAAATAAATAATTTAATAATTAATTTATAATGGAGCCTTTAGTGTCGTATGCTGAGTTTCTAACATGAAAATCCGATTAGTGCTCGACTTTAAAAATCGCCATTTCATGTGTTACAATTCCAAGTTGTCTATACCAGAACTGATTTTCAGAAAATAGGTCAAACATAATTTATGGAAACATTTGGGCGCCACAATTTGTGACTTTAGTAGAACATTTTATGAATATTTTAAATTTGGATAGAATCAAAAGACAAAGTGGTATTGTTTAAACTTTTTTATATGTATACCGTCAACAGAAACGATTTTTGTAAAAAAAAAACATTCAAAGACATTTGGGCGCCACATTCTCAATTTGATGATTTTATGCCATTTTTAATGAAAATTATATAATATATAGATTGAGCAATCCTATGAAGGTAAGCTACATACAATTGTTCATTCAAAACCAGATATGAGTGAAAATCATCTTCCATATCATGACATTAAATTCCTTCTAAAATACCCTAAATATTTGCAATATTTTTTTCTTCTTTAAAGCCTAAATTGTAATGTCCAGCATTTACTTTTAACTACCAACCTCCTCTCAAACTTCGAGAATTTTCCTCCCAAAAAACCAAAAAAAAAAATTGAAACCATGAAAACGATAGTAAAAGTGTATATTTGGCGTTTAATACAAATCCAATTTATTTATTGTTGTTACACTATTATTCTTGTTCTTATCTTTGGTGAACTCGGCAAACTATTAAAAGTATCCGAAAAAAAAGAAATAAAAACAACAACAACAATAGAACAGTTGTTGTTGTTGTATCTATAATGTGCTATAAACAGTGAACGTATGTTTTCTGTTGTTGCTTTGTTTCTAATCGGAGGACACTCGACACATTCATTGTTTGTGCCATGCACAAATTATTCACGGATGGACGGACGGGCGGACTGGGAACTACCACTCAACCTAGTCCAAACCCAAAAACCCATCAACCAACCACCACCAACAACAACAGCAGCAGCAGAGCAAGACTTCTATCACTTCAAGTGCTACTTGTTAGGCGGCGGATAAATGGAACGATTCTTATTGTGTGTGCGGATAAAAATGGATAAATATGCTGTTATGTGGCCAGGCCAGCCAATCAGAAGCCAGAGTAAAGTGAGCCAGTGTGTGTGTGTTTATCCATGGTGAAGTTAGCCCAGCCAGTCAGCCAGCCAGCCAGCCAACAAACAACCCCGGTTTTCCATTCTTTTGTTTGAATTGAAGAAGCAGGCGATTCGGTCGAAAGGAAGCTAGGCTGGTGGCAAAGCAGAGTGAAGTCAGTCAGCATTGCGCAGTCGTTTCAAACAGACGTACTTTGGTGCGGTGTCAAAAAAGAAAAAAATAAAGATTATCAAAAAAAAAAAAAAAAATTGACGTTAAGAAATTTTGAGAAAAAAATTGACGAACTTCGGAAAAAATTCTCATAGATGAATATCCATTGAATAATATAAGTGCTACAAAAACAATTCAAGTGCTAAAGATTTTTTTCGGTTTTACAAAAACAACAAAAATCCAAATCAACACTAACATTAACAAAATGGTTATTAACACACCACTCACTGTGCCCTGCGGCACTGCGAGTCCCCCCGCCACCAGATCACGGGTACAAATCGATTGGGATATTAATGACAGTGTTGTGCCGGTGGTGACAGAATTCGATGAGTTCCACGATTGGGCCAATGGCCATTGCCGTTTGGTCTACTCCCAGACCAGTGAAGAGGCCAAGAAACATGCATCCGGCTGGGCCATGCGGAATACCAACAATCACAACATCAACATTTTGAAGAAGAGCTGTTTGGGAGTGCTCCTCTGCACGGCCAACTGCAAATTGCCTAACGGCAACAGTGTCCATTTGCGTCCGGCAATTTGTGATAAGGCGCGTCGCAAGCAACAGGGCAAACCTTGTCCAAATAGGTAAGTTGAGTGGAAAATTCTGAAACTAATTTCAGAAGTTTTCAAATCTATTTTCTTGTGTGAACGTGGAAAACTAATTTGTGTTTCCGAATTTTCTTGATTTTTCCAGAAATTGCAGTGGTCGTTTGGAAATCCAACCCTGCCGTGGCCACTGTGGCTATCCAGTAACACATTTTTGGCGTCGTTCGGGAAATGCAATTTTCTTCCAGGCCAAGGGCACCCATGATCATCCTCGTCCCGAGGCCAAAGGTTCCACAGAGGCCAGACGTCTTTTGGGCAGTGGCAGAAGGGCACGCAGTTTGGCGGTTCTATTGGCCAGAGATGCAGCCTTGAATGACAAACTGACCAGTTTGAGGGGTGTCAAGAGGAGTAACAACAAAATGGATGCCTCCACGGATGCCAGTTTGGTGCAGGCCTCCAAAAAGAAACGGGCAATGCGAGAAATCTCCAGCAACATCTCCCCCGCGGCGGAGCTGATTCCACAAAATAACTACAATCACTCGACTCAGTACGAAAATCAATCTGCGGCGAATCAATGGTTACCCGAAATGCATATGGGCCTATATAACACCGCCAGCACAACAACAACCTTGCCAGAATTCACCTATCCCCAGCATCAGCCTCTTCCCTCCATGGAATCCACCTATAACCTCCACTATGAACAACCCTCCTCCTGTCTAACCTCACCTCAATCTGCCTACTCCTATTCCCAGCAATACTCTCCCAATAATTCCGCCTTAGATGAAACTCTGCTGGGCCAAAATCATCAAAATCTATATCCCTCCAACTCCAGCCTGTTGTCCAACGATTTCACCTCAACTGATAATCAAAAATGGATCTATGAGAACTGTGATGATGCCTCGAGTTTGACCAGCAGTTCGGGTTACAATTCCGACGATTATTACTATTCCACATTTATGTCTTCGTCATTGAATAATTTCGACACCCCTGCCAGTGCAACTGAAGTTCCACAACAGCAATTGGCCAGTCCCAGCTACTTCGACTCCACATCACCCACAGCCACCGATATCTACAACAGTGTCTTTGATGCTGACCTAACCTCGTCATTGTATCCAGCCTCCGGTGATAACTACCAGACTGCCCCCACCTCCACTGCCAACTCCCTGCAGGAATTCAATGATAATATGCTTAATCATTCGCCGCAATATCACAGCTTATCCGGCTACACTTCCGATCTCAACAACAGCAGCAGCTCGCCGAACAATGCCGTCGGCCATGCAGGACCCGATTTTTACTACAGCAATTCGGTGAATGATAACGGCAATGAATGGAACATTCAAATGGAAAACTCCAGTGTTTTGTATTCCCACCAGCAGCAACAACAACAGCAACAAATGGAATCTAACATGTTACAACAACAGCAACAAATGCATCAAAACATCTCAGTGGGAGTTTTTTAAGATTTCAAAACAGAAACTCAAATCAAATCCTTGAACTGAGAGTGTGGCGCCCAATTGTTTGTGGCAAATGTTTTGTTGTGGCCAGCTTGCCAATATATTTTTTTAGTCCACTATTTGATAAGCTGTTGTATGTTGTCAATATTTCGTTTAAAATTTATCCTAAGTCTATTTATTTTCAACACATTTTTTCATAGATCTTTTGCAAGTTTTGCAAATGTTGCCTCATATTGAGAAATTAATTTTTAAAAACCCCCATTTTATACTTTTGTATACTACAAGCGTTGTTCTAGTCTAGTCAGCACCTATCCATTATCTTAACTATCGCGGCGGTCTGCTCGTGGACCAGTTTCTCTCAAAATGTTGGTTAAGTTTCATTGTAACACTTGTTTCATTTAAGTTTTACTTTGTTTCCCAAAATCTGTTCCATCGGAATGCTAGTAGTAATTATCCACGTCGTCATCATCACCATCATCTTAAGATAGTTGTTAAGCCAAAGAATTAAAATTTCAAAAAATTAAGAAATAATTTCATAGTCAAGAAATGTCGTATTAAGATTTCTATTTTAAGTAATTTTTATTTTAAGTTTTCAATAGTTCTAAGAATTGAAAAAGAATGAGAGGAGGAAAAATACAAAGAAATTTATAAGAATTGAAATTTTGGGAATTTTTATTTGGGTTATTTTTTTCGGCAAGTCAACTTGTTTCTGTGGAGAAACAAACACTTTTCAACCTCTACTGAAAAAATTAGAAACTTTTCTTTCAACCCATTTGTGAATATTCGTATATGGTAATATTTACAGTTCCATCGACACGCTCTATTATAATTGAACATGAAGTAGGCGGAAAAGGAAGGTAAATTTTGAATTTTTAAATTTGAAATATGGAAACATTGAATGTTTCTCCTTTAATATTTTTTTAATATTAAAGGCATGTGAAATCCCCATGTTGTTCTCTTCACCTCATTTACATTAGGAGTTCTCATCAATGTGAGAATTTTCCGAAATAATTAACATTTAAAATTGGATTCTTTGGTTATTTAGTAAGCCAGTTGTTCATTATAACATGATTTAAGTTCCGTCGGGTTGAAGATTTAAAATTCACATAGTAAATGTTTGGATTACTAGAAGAAATCGGCCCAATGTATTCTTGTGAAATTCAATAACCTATTCAAGGTATCGCGTACTGGCAAATACCGTTAGTAGACTGAATATTTTATCACAACTAAGGTGAGCTGAAAATCAAATCGGTAAATTTGATTTTCTACGAATTTCGTAGGAGAATACGCAATTAGGATTTTTATCCAAAAAATATAAACTTTTTTTCAATTTTCTGGTAACCAGGAGACGAAATATCTACACAAATTGGCATATCGGGGGATTTATTGAATTTGAAAATCCCAAAGGGGTAAAAATTGTTTTTTTAAGGTCCCAATCTTGGTTTGCGAGTCGAGTTATTTTTAAGCAGACACCGATTTCAGAGTTGAATCCAAATCAGAAAGTCTGTCACTTGAGAGTTAATTCGTTAGAATCCTTCCAGCTGAAGAATTCACATCAATTATTATCGAAATATGTATTCAAATTAATAGTTATTTATTTATTTAATTATTATATTTTTGGGGACGGATATTTTTTTTCGTACGGATTTTTGCATAAAACTCAGTAAATTCTGAGAAAACACTCAAAAACTCGCCTTACATACCAATTTAAATATTTTTGAAGTTGTTATTTCATTTATGTTTTTTTTTTCTTAAATAGATCCATTTCTTTCCAAAACAAAATAGCTAATTAAGCCTTTTGCTTCTTTATCAATAAATATGACTTTTATCCGGAATAAGACTTTGGCTACATAGCCCTGGTATCATTCCAATTATTATTACTGCACAACCCTGATATTGTTCCAATTTCCAAACGAACGGGATTTATTAGACCTGAATGGCGCAGAACTGAAAATAGGGTTAAAACTCTCAAAACTTGTTTTTTTTTAATTATGGATCAGACCTCAGAAAAACTCGCTCGAGAAGAAAAAACTAAACCGAGCATATTCTACTCTGGCCGATAACTCTTTTTGTATTTGTCACACCGTTTTTGTATTTTTATGCACTCCTATGTGTATTTTTATGCACTCCTATGTGTATTTTTTCTGTACACTATCACACACTCTCGATCAAAAGAGTGAAGAGTAAAATCCATATAAAACTCCAAATCTTCGAGCAATACCATAGACAAATTAAGGTATAGACTAAAAAGTTTTAAAATTTACCCCTTCCGGCAGATGTCACTATGGTTGATCTTGGGCCAGTCAAGTCACTCAGGGCTAGTGAAGTCACTTGACTTCGAAAACAATTGATTCATTTTTCTGCTATTTAAGTTCTATATTTTTATATTTCACGACATATTTGGATAATGTAAAAATAAACAAAGTCACTTTTTCGTTTTTAATTGATAAATAATAAAGAATCATAAAAAATATTCATTACTTTGTATAGTGAGAGAATTGAGTGAGTCTACTAAACCTCTCTCACAGCATGAACGACATCTATTAGCACTTTTTTCGAAGATAACAGATGAGACAACTTTTTAGTCTATACCTAATTTGTCTATGGCAATACCGCTCGCGAGCAAGTTTTATTTGAGAGTGTAAACGAGCAAATCTGTCTATGATACCACCACCCAAACAGGAAGAGAGTACCAGAGTTTGTCAAAAAAAAAAAAAAAAAAAAAAAAAACGGGCCACATAAATGATGTGAATTGGTAATCCTCAGGCTCAGACAAACCCACTATAAACGTCTCCTATTGTGGATCGCCGGATTTGCTGACCTTTCGTGTACGAGATAAAAAAATGCAACATATTTTTTATATATATATAAATATATATTTTTTTTTAATTTTATTGAATGAAAGCAAAAAATGTCGGAACTAGCATCACATTTTAGAATAAGTTTAGATTTGTTCGAATTGGTAACCATTGGCACGAATTATGGCCTTCAAAGGGACAATGAAACCGTCACCGCTGCTCGTTGGCCCATTACCGGCGAAGCGCTTGCCTGAGGTGATGGACACTTTGGTACTTTTAAGTGCCAACCTTGCTTTCCAAAATACTCCAGACACAATAGTCCAACGGATTGGTATCCGGAGATTTTGGTAGTAATTGTTCGCCGGAAATGATGCGATGAACCTCATTATGTAACCATTCTTGTGTGGCGAATGCTGAGTGCGATGGTTCTGAGTCCTGGTGGAATGTCCTCCAGAATATTTTCGCGATAATATTCGGCATTTATTCGATTAATACGAGCGGAGAGCCACCATCAGCCCACACCATCACCATGGCCGGTGCTTGAGTTCTGGTGGCCAACCGAAGGGGCACATTGTCAGCTGACCTCTTTGGCAAGTATACACGATCATTTTGTTTATTTTGTTTTCTGCTGGACAACGAATGTTTTCTCATCGGATAGAGAGAAAACCAAATTCGGCAGTTCAATACTTTCGGCCAAGCGAAGCAACACTTTTGAGTCTATTTTCTTTCTGTTGCGGTGTAAATTTTTGCACTTTTTGGAATTTCAATGGCTTTAACCCGAGCTTATGTTTCAATATTTGCCGAATGGAATATTGTGATATGTTCAGCTCACGAGCCATTTTCGGCCACTGCGACGCGGGTTTCGATCAAGTCGCTTCTTTACTTTTCGAACCATTTCTGCTGATGTTGCTGTTTTTATCCGTTCACTTCTTTGGCTGGCTACGCTACCAGTATCACGGTAACGAGCGATTGTACGAGACACAAAAGATTTATTCACATTTAAATGCTGGAGTGCTCTAACGATAGCCACTTGAGGTTTTCCAGCCAAATATGAAGAAGTCACACCATCACGCTTGAATTCCACCACGAATAATTTTTTTTCTTGAAAATTTTCATCAAAATTCCTTTGCACGCTTGTCAACAATATAATGGACTGTCACTGGAATAATGTTAACAGCTGCCGGACGAGTGGCTTAAAAATGACAGCAGTCTGAAGTTGGTTGCAGTTTTTTCATCTCACCCTGTATATACTTTGTAGGGTCTATTATGAATATTTCGAGGAGTTACAAACGGAATTACAAAATTAATATACCCTCCATGGAATGGTGGAGGGTATAAAAATTTTTAGTATGGCGAAAAAATTGTAGACAACAATTTTTGTTCTAAAACTTACAAATGTTGAATATCCAAAAACTAACAATATATGTATAGCTATTTTAGCATTAATTATTATTTTTTTGTTTCACTTTCAGATATTATTAGATAAATGCACCAATAATGTATCCCCAAAAAAACACGACAATAATATTTACCTACTCACGGCCTCATATCAGGTATGTAGAATTTATTTCTTTTTTTCTACATTTTATCAAGTTTTTGGTGTGTCAATGGTTAAAAATTTTTTCAAATATATATTTTTTAAATTTTCTTTTTTTATTCAAGTCCAAACGAATATAATTTCTCTCAACAGATGTTCATTTGTTCTCTGAATTCCTTTCCATATGCAGAGTTTTGATTCATATTAATATGATAGTAAAAGTAATCTTTGTATAAAAGTATTATAGAAAGCAAAATTTAACTATAATAGCCGAAATTAGAGATATAAATCTATATCCTTCAACATAGCTCGTAAGTATGATTTGATGGTTCTTTATATACACACAACGGGTTTCCGAAAGGAATATTTTGATCCAGAATTATGTAATTAATATTAAATGATTCCCTAAATCGTCCTGTTATAAAGATTGAGCCACTATCTCAAACCCTAATATTAAAATATCTACAAACATCTTAATCAATTTAAAGTTCTATTGATTTATTTCCGATAACTTTTTTTTTAATGATAAGGGTTTTTATTTGCATTTTATTTGAATTTGTAATGATTTGCAAAATATCCTTTGAACAAAATAAGTCAATTTGTCAGTAGTGTCACCATCGAAAATCCAATACTGTTACAAAAGAAAACTCTCAATCCCTGGAAAGGTGCAAATTTGCGAATTGCGAAAAAAATATGCAAATCTAATGTCAAACCAAAAAAAAAATCGAATTGGCAAATGAAAATCATTTTATCCTTTTCCTAATTAAATCTCTCAAACCACCCCACCACACATGAGGATGATGGAAAAAATGGGAGCAAGGAATTATGCATGACTAACAAAAGGCTTTTCACGCGAATATTGAATTACATTAGCCTTCAGCAAAAACCAAAAAAACTCCCCCCAGGATAACAAAATACGACAACAAACAAAAGGCGAATTTAAATCTAATTTGCATAATACATTAATAAACAAACGACTTACAAACAAACAAAGCATGGCTCTCATTTTTCTCTCCTATATTGCTCAATAAATGACATTTTGGTTTTGAGAAGGAGTCAGTCGGCAGTGGTTGTTGGGTGCTAATGATACAAAAACAATCCCTCTCCTCATTAGCATAAATGCAGCAGCGACAACAACAATAGCGATGTAATCCCTTGGTCTTGCTCATCTCATTTTCGCTTAAATGATTCAATTTGAGAGGACTGACTCTAGAATTTGTGTGTTTGAGTGTGTGTGTGAAATCTGAGGCCAGGAGATACTCTCGCAGACAGGAAACACACGTTTGCCGTAAAGGCCGTTCTTTGATTTATTGCAGGCATGCACT